CTTTTAATACTCAGGCAATATGTTTTAAAGGTTTCTGTAAAATGTACATGACCATGATACACATCAAGAGCCAGGAATATCCAAAGTTATACTTCAAACTTTATTCTATTTGTGGTCGATCTGCCTAGTTTTGAATTCTATCAAAGTATATTATGGACCCATTATAATAGTGCTTACTTTGTTGTTGTTTTCTCAAGGAAGTAGCTTTTATAATTACCCAAGTTTAATTTAATTTGTAGAGTAAATGTAATTAGGAAGAGAATACTTCCTGAGGAAAAGTGCATTTCTTCTTTTTTCACAAATCATTCTGTCTAGGAGTAACAAGAGAATTTTGAATGATTTATTCTTAATATCAAGGACTACAGTATTCATCATTTTTAGTTGTTCCTTCTTCCAGTTAACTGTGGAGATCCTTTAAATTTTGCTGAAATTTTATGGCATCAATTTTAGAACCGAAAAACATTAAAAGTGTTTCCTAAAACTTTCACTGATCTGATCACTTGATTTACAGAAAGATCCCAATCTAAACATTGAACCTTCTATTGTCTTTAAATTTTTTTTGTCCATTTTCTTCCTCCTTTCACTTCTATGGATTAAACACTCTTAAAATAATATGAATAAGCCCATCATCTAAATTAAAGAACATCCAAGAAAGTGTCATGAGTACACAGTTTCTCAATTTTTGTTTATTCTATCCTGTTAACAATGGGTATTTATGATACCTCATGAAATAAGTTAAAGAAGTCATCTCACATAAGCCCTAAACATTTAACTCTGGGAAAAAAATCAAAAATTATTCAGATTAAGTCAATGTTCACTTTGCAAATTGTGAACAAAATGAAGGTGTTCTAAGACATTTTCAGAAATCCAATTATAGTCAATAGTCGTGCCAAAATTTTACCTGTGATAGATTGGACTGATGTGTGTATACCTGACTAAGTTAGATCTTAAGAATCATTTTTAAGTAACTAAAATACAGTAACTTTTACCTTAATAACTATTTTTATATATTAGTTATATTTTTAAACTTTTGCCTTTATGACCCAAGTGACTTTATTTTAAAGACAGCCAATTACATTTACAACAAACTTAAAGACACATAATGCCTTCTTTTTTTAAAAGCCAGAATTAAATACACATTTATGTATGAATCTATGTATATATCCAATTAACTCATATATTAATTATAATAACACTACAATAGTCCCGTTACTGAGTGTCTACTATACCATATGTGCTATTCTTGGCATGCATATACTTGCTTATTTCATCTCCTATTGGTATTTTTTATAAGTGGTTAGCCCAGTGATACTGTGGAGGAAATGGAGCCCCAGCGAATTTAGGTAACCAGCCTAGGGGCACATAGCTACTATGGAGCAGTGCTATGAAAATCTGGAACTTTGTTCCCAGTATTCATTTAGCAATACTATCTCATCACATTTGTTACCTCCAGTTGTAACAAAATGAGAGAAAAGCAAGACTCACAGCCCATGCTTATGAAGGAATAAAATTATTCAGAAAGTACAAACATATTGATGATATGATGTTAAATCCTCCACTGATTTCTGTCAAGGCAGCACATTTTTTAATGACATGTGATTTGTGAGGCACTTAGGACTTGAAAAAAAAGTGCAAAAGAGGGTTCTAAGGTTTTGTGGTTTAAAATATTATCCTTCTGCTTCCATTGGCTTAAGAATTTCCAGTACAATCCATTTTAAAAAACTATCCTTAATGAAAACACGGTGCTAGAACATAAAGAACAAGGTCTTTAATGCACAACACAGGACAAATACTGGACAAGAAGCTCCCACTGTCCTAGAGGGAAGAAGAACCACTCAGGCACACCCTCTAATGAAGTGTCAGCAATGACAGCTGCTAGAAACCAGCCCTGGAAAGTCGCCTTTCTGTGATGTTGACTCAGGGATGGGATGAACTGAGTAGACCCAGAGGCTGATGACAAACTGCCAGTGTCAGTAAACAGAAGTCATACATCGATGTGTGGGCAGTGTAAAGCTTTCTATTTGCACAGAAGTGTGTGTGAGAGAGACAGGTACACACACACACACACACACACACACACACACTCCTAACACCTAGTAACAAATAGTCCCATAATAGCATATCCATTTAGTGTAAAGAATTGCTATAATTAGTGTAACATTTTTGTGTTAGGTTTTTACTTAATTGCATGTTTTAAAGTTCAAAAAAAATTCCTTAAAATGCTATTTACCAAAGTGTATCTGGCTTGTCTTCTGCAAATTCTAACCATGACATTCTACAGCAACAACATTTGACACTATTCCCCTGGAGTTCAATTTATGGCCTTCCTCTAGTTCTGCAGAACCGTAAGGCCTACCCACCTCCTCCATATCCATTTATGGGATCAATTTCTGGTAGTTCTGTAGACTCTGAGAAATGTCAGCTTTTAAACCTGGAAAGTATTGACAGAACCACAGTCTCTATCCCTCATAGCCCTCATCCTTAGGTGTCTAACATTTCAGAACAGAGGTCGGCCTAGAGCTTTTTAAAGGACAAAGCCAGAAAGCAGAATACAAAGAAAACACATTTTTGTTCATATATTCATTATTTACCTCATGTGCTATGGAAGTGGGAGCCTAACTTGAACTTGAATTTGGGTTGACCTAGGACAGAGTGAGAAAACCATTACAAACATGAGGAGCAGAGCTGTAGGATCTGCTGCTTCCTTCCAGGAGATTGCAATCTTAACTGCCAGAGCAAAAGTCCTACTGAGTCAGTAAAAGGCTTGGTCAAGTATGATCTGCAATGACCTTAATTCCTTGTTCCAATTGGGTTAAGCTTAAGGGTTGTAAAGAGTTGGTAAAGGTCAAGTTGGGTCTGCAAATGTGCTTGATTTATGGACTTAAATTGGTTTTCTTTCTGGAAACAAGTAAGAAGGTCACTCCCTCTTCTGACTACTTAAAAAATAAGCATCTTTTACAGTTTTGCACTAAGCCAGTTGGAAGGATTTTAGGCTATTGGACTCTTCCTAGTTACTAGTAGATGGCCACACTGGTAGTAAAGGGAGGCCAAAACAGTATTTATTTTTTGTCCTTTGAATTCCAGGCCAGTGCATCTATATTAGTGAAGAAGTTTTAGATAATGTATTTTAAAAGTTGATATAAAGCCAAGGACAAAGGGTGCAAGGGGATACAGAGAGGAGATAATAGAACAGCAGGGATGTTAGGGAAGGATACTTGCAGCGTAACTCATTGCTATCTTGGGAGTTACAGGGAAGAGTACTCACTACCACCCCAGTTAGCACCTCTCTGCTATGATTACTCTCCTACAGTTTCTCTCTCTTCTCACTGCAAACACCGACGCCATACCATCTCCAGGTCTGAACTGTTTTTAGCCCTGTTTTCTAGAATGTTTGGGGCAAGCTGAAAAAGAAGAAAAAGAGAAACCAACTGGATGGGGACAGCTAGATACTTAGTGGGCTCTATTCTCTTTCAAACCATCATGTCCATGTGTGACTGTGCATGCACACAGTCTTCTTTCATGCCTATTACATTTTTAAAAGAAACAGGCACAGATTAGAAGAAACAAAGAGGGATGGCAAAAAGACATACTAGATATCACTGCCTCAGGGGAACCGTCCCTCTAAAGCAGTGATGGGGAAACAGGAGATATCTGTATACTATTAACAATAAAAAAATATTTTTAAAAATAAAAATAAAGCAGAGTGAGCATCTCCTCACTATGTTCATAGTGCTCTGATGGTCTTTCCCTTGTGCTTATCACATTGTGTTTCACTGTCTGCTTATATAGTTCTCTTCTCACCTGCACTGTGAGGTACTTACAGCCAGCATGTCAATGCTATTTACTGTGTGCCTGTGAGTGAGTTGGACAGTATGCTGTGGTTTCCAGTGTCCTTGGGATATTTCAGAGTAAACAGTAAAGGATAGAATGTAGGAAGCATGTAGGGATAATATAAAAAGGATGTGGCTCTGGCTGGTTTGGCTCAATGGATAGAGCATTGCCCTGTGGATTGAAAGGCCCCAGGTTCAATTCTGATTAAGGGCACATGCACTGGTTGCAGGCTTGATCCCCAGTAGGTGGTGTGCAGGAGGCAGCCAATCAGTGATTCTCTCTCATTATTGATGCTTCTCTCTCTCTCTCCCTTTCCCTTACTCTCCAACATCAATAAAAAATATATTTTTTAAAAAAGGATGTGATTATGCCACTAAAAACTCATAATAAAGTAATTTATGACTCATTATTATATTTTATGTGTTTAAGTCTATAATGATGAGCCTCTTTCTAATGGTGTACGTAGTTTGTGGCTAGAGGAACAAAGGTAAATATTTTCAAAGCACAATTATGTTATTAAAATGTCACAGCCAAGTGTGGGTATCTATGGAAAAGTGAATTGGTCATGAATTAAATTGGTCCAGTCAGAGCAATTAAATGAACTAAAACAACTCATTCATTTTAACCATTTTACCTTTAAAATACTGAATCATATTTGATTCTGTTATCCTTCAAGTCAAAATAATCAATATTAACACAAATTAATTATAATATATGTCCTTCAAGATTATTTCTCAGGAACGTCATTCACTATGACTCAATGTGGATTTTCCTGTTGAGATTGAGGTCTGTAATTGATTATTCTTACAGGAAAAATTCTAGATCCAAAAACACCTCATTGGTTCAGATAATATAAATACCGTGAAACTTCAACACATTAAACATTTTGAAGGGTCCTCCTCTATTGGAGGAGAATTCAAGCCAAACCCCAAAACCTAGCTAAAATCGTATTTCTATCACTCTTATTTCCCCCAAATAATAACTATCCAGAAAATTAATAGCAATGAGCAGGTTAACTCCTCCCAAAAGAAGTTGTGTATTTTTTGATGTCATGAACTTAAAACTATTGTCATCTTATTTCAGTTTTCAAAAAACATTTTGGTCTAGAACTGTATATACTTCCCAGTAGGAAAATAAGCCATAACCCCTCATTTTGTCTTCCATTTCAGAAAACAGCAGATGTGCATCTTCGAATGCAGCATCCTGCACCAAGTGCCTTGCGCTAGATCCAGAATGTGGATGGTGTGCTCAAGAGGTGTGCCTAATTTTTTTTCTTTCTTTGTTCTTTTTTTTTTCTCTTTTCTGTTTTTCTCACAATTGCCCTTTTCTCTAGCATAATTTCATTGCCCTGAAACTCCGTACCTTGAAGGTGTATCAGGAAAACGATACTGATGAGCATCAGGAAAATTTTATTTGGTTTTATGCCTGGAAACAGCATATCTGGCTGAATATAAAGTATAACCTTTTTATTAGGAAAATTATGGTAATTTTGAAATGAAGTGCAAACCATTTTATGTTTTCCATCTGTTCTATAGAGAAAATTGGCAAACACAGCTAGTAACTTTTGCTTAGGTCAGAAGGCTTTGTGTGAAATTCTTGTTGCAGCTTGGGGCATTCGGTTATATATCCAAGTTGGATCGTTGTCTTGTACTTGCTTATTAAAAAGCAAGCTAATTTATTGGTAGGTTTCATTTGTTTTATTTGCAATACATGGAGATAAGTTATTTACCCTATCATAACATTGTATATCAATTCTTTAGTAATTTATGGAAAATGGGGTGCTTTTCTTTTGACATGTGATAGTGTGTACATTTAAATTCTGTGGCATAGAAAATAATTAAGAAATATTTATTGTTAAAAATTTGTGTTTTACATCCTAACAAGAGAAACATATCCCAATAACTTCTTAGTAAAATAATTATAATGTATTCCTTCTCTAAAGTAGTTTTGTGGGTGCTGTTGGTAATCTCTAATTAGAACCACCTATTACATAAGTTGTAATGAAGAAGCCATCTGCTAATTTGGGGTGAGACTGCGTAGGTAATTTTGCATTTATTTATGTAGCCCCTGAGAATTAGAACAGATAGATCTTTAATGGCCTTTTGCTTGGGATGAAGAGAAACGTCTAGCTTTACTTCCTCTGATCTAGCTCAAAACCTGCACCTACCATCATCTTTCCAACCTCTCCTAGTACTGCTTGTTCTTATGCATCCCCAAGGAGGAAAAAAGAAAGGTGAAGGGTAGCAAAAGATAGTGGATGTTATTTTCTTTCATGAAGCAAGGCAAGAAAGTGGTAGGGAAGGGGTTCATGGAACAGTAGCCATGTCTGAAAGTAAGTGCCCCTCCTACTGACAGCCTCAAGGCTTCTGAATGTGGCCTGGGTTTTACCAGTGACAAAATCGGATGTCACTCCAAACTAGAGTTTGTCTGTCAAGAATGCGTCAGAGCTTGATGTTTCCTGACCCTAACCCAATACTCCGTTTTACATTTGTACTGTATCAATAAGGAAGATCCTTAGAGTCATGGAGTTTGGGCCAACTTGACATCAGTTGCTGAGAACTTTAGTGTATGTAGTTTAGAAGAACTTTCAAAAGATGGTTTGGAAATCCAGTTGTCAGCTAAATGCACCATGCCAGCCATATAGAAGGTCTAGTTCCAAAGGGTTCCTCTCCATCTCACACCTCTGCTGGCACAAAAACTCTGGAGAGTCACAGTTATGTGAGTTGCAATGTCAGTCCTGCCAGGGGAGGAGGGATTTTGGGTATTCAGAGGAATGGCCGTTCAAATGCAAGGAGGTAAGCCAAGGGAAGAGGTGGGTGGCTGCCAGGTCAGAGAAGACAAAACCTGTTTATGCTCTTGACCAAATCCCCATAAAGGGATCTCAGAAAATACTCAGAAATGAATTGGCTGTTCATGTCCCAAAATATTCTATGTACTGAAGGGTAGTCTACGGTAATTTAGAGGTTGAAAAAGCAGGCTCTGAAATGAGATCGCCTTGGAAACCAATCCCAGTTCCATCAATTTCTAACCATAGTACCAAATTAACATGTCCTCTGAACCTCAGTTTTCCCTAGCTTTAAAATGGAAATAATAACTGCACTTATGACACACTGTTGTGAGGATTAAGTGAAACAGTATGCGGGAAGCATTTGGCAAACAAACATTGCTTAAGAAATGGGAGTTGTTATTATAAGAACTTCGGTGAAACTCTGGAGCAATTCATTCAGGCTTGGGAAAATCAGAATTGCCTGTGTTAAGAACACAACCCTAGTTGAAGCAACCAGTATTAGGACTTGGCCACTAGCCACATCATTAACAGAAGGAGCTGTCCACTCCTACAGGCTGACCTGACATCACCAAGAGAAAGAATGCAGTGGTTGGTTTTGAAAGATCGCCCACCACTTAGGTATGCATGCAACTGATGCCTATTATTCCTCAATCAGCAGGGTAGAGGGACAGAGAAGGAAGATGTGTTTTATCTGTTCTTAAGCCTGGCTTATATGATTTTCAAAGCTGGTCAAAGTAAAAGAAAAGCTGGAGGAATGCATTACCATCAAACCAAGAAATGTATTACAAGAAATGTTAAAGGGACTTCTTCAAAATAAAGAACAAAAAAATTTAAAAATATATGAATAAGAAAATGTCGCCAAGAAAACTCTCACTGACAAAGGCAAACACATAATAAAAGCAGTAGTTCAACCAACACTAAGCCAGTACAAAGGTTAAAAGGCAAAAGTAGGAAGATCGTATGTAATTACAATAGTAAATTAAGGGATACACACAAACACACAAAAGAAGGTAGAATGGATTGAAAAAAAAAACATAAACATGTAGGGGGTGAGTAAAAATGGTAGTGATTTTAGAATGTGTTTGAACTTAAACTACTGTTAACTTAAAATAGACTGCTATAATCATAGCTTGGTATATGTGAAGCACATTGAAACCACAAACCAGAAATTTACAAGAGATATACAAGAAATAAAGAGAAAGCAATCCAAACACAACACTGCAAAAAGTTATCAACATACAAGGGAAGAGAGCAAGAAACTAAGAAAATAAGAGAACTACAAAAACAATCAGAAAACTATTAATAAAATGGTAATAAGTACATACCTATCAATAATTACCTTAAATGTAAATGGATTAAATGGGCCAGTCAAAAGACAAATGGATAAAAAAGAAATGGTACCTACAGGGTATCCCAAAAAATGTATATATACTTTAATAGCTGACTCAATTACATTTTGAAAATGAAATGTATTTTAAGAAACACTGCCTTTATAATTATTCAAAGTGTGTATACATTTTTGGGACACCCTGAATATACAATAAAATATTACTCAGCCATAAAAAGGATGAAATTGTACCACTTGGGACAACATGGATGGACCTAGAGGGTGTTGTCTTGGGTGAAATGAGTCACAGTGAAGGACAATTACCATATGAATTCACTTATATTTGGAACCTAAAAAGCAGAATAAACAAACAAAGCAGAAACAAACTCATAGATACAGAAACAAACTGATGGAGTGGTTTTGAGGGGCTGGGTGAAGAAGGTGAAGGGATTAAGAAGTACAAATTGGCAGTTACAAAACAGTTATGGATGTAAGTACAGCTTAGAACAGTGATAGCGAACCTTTTGAGCTCACGTGTCAGCATTTTGAAAAACCCTAACTAAACTCTGGTGCCGTGTCACATATAGAAATTTTTTGATATTTACAACCATAGTAAAACAAAGACTTATACTTTTGATATTTATTTTATATATTTAAATGCCATTTAACAAAGAAAAATCAACCAAAAAAATGAGTTCACGTGTCACCTCTGACACGTGTGTCATAGGTTCACCATCACTGGCTTAGAATATAGTCACTAATATTATAATAACTATGTATGGTATCAGGCTTATTAGAATGATCACTTCACAAGTTATTATAAATGTCTAATCAGTATGTTATACACTTGAAACTAATATAACATTGAATGTGAACTGTGATTGAAAATAAAATTTAAAAAGTTTAAAGAAACTTAATTGGTATCTATTTTTCTTCAGTATTCATGCCTGAAGCTAAATTAATTATCAGTTTGTTATAAACACTTTAGCTAAGAGACTCTTAAGACCTGAATAAAATTAAACCTATGACCATATAGTAGATATACATATATATATTTATGTATATATATATATTTATGTATACATATGTCTAGTTATTTCACTAGTTATATATTATTTCACTAG